AGAGAGATGAAGAGGAGGAGAAGGAGGGGGGAGAGGGAGAAGAGAGGAGAGGAGAGAGAGAGGAAGGAGAGAAGAGAGAGTGAGAGAGGGAAGGAGGAGGGAGGAGAGAGGAGGAGAAGAGAGAAGAAAGGAAAAGCAGGATGGAAGGTGAAAGAGAGAGGAGGGAAGAACACGGGGGGGGGGAGAGGCGGAAGAGGGGCGGAGAGGAGGAGTGGAGAAGGAAGAGAGGGGGAGGGGAGGGAGGAGAAAGGGAGAGAGGAGAGAGAGAGGAGGGAGAGGAGTGAGAGACGGGAGGGGGAGAGGAGAGAGAGAGAGGGAGGAGAGAGAGAGGAGAGGAGGGAGAAGTAGAGAGGAGAGCGAGAGTGGAGGAGGAGGAGAGGAGAGAGGGGGCTGGGGAGGGAGAAGAGGGAAGGGGAGAGGAGAGAGAAGAGAGGACGAGGGAGGAGAGAGGAGAAGGACGAGGGGAGGGGAGAGGAGAGACGGAGGGAGAGAGGGAAGGGAGGGGAGAGAGAGAGACAAGGAGAATGATGGAGGGAGAGGGAGAAGGGAATGAGAGAAGTGAGGAGAGAGGGAGGAGAAGAGGGGGAGGGAGGGAGGATGGAGAGAGAGGAGAGAAGAGAGAGAGGAGAGAAGGAAGAGACTGAGACTGAAGAGATGATGAGAGAGAGAGAAAACAAACAAAAACACGTTTCCTCTTGAAAAATCAATGATGCAGCTACTCGCTCAGTCCCAAATTGTTGCACGATACCCGCGAGTTGCAGCACGCCAAGGGGTTATCGTGCATGTTGCAGAAGGTTAGTACGGTTTGATAAGCCTAGATAGATAAGCCTAGGTTAGATACGGTTTGATATCGTGCAAGTTGCAGAAGGTTAGTACGGTTGATAAGCCTAGATAGATAACTAGGTTAGATACGGTTTGATATCGTGCAAGTTGCAGAAGGTTAGTACGGTTTGATAAGCCTAGGTTAGATACGGTTTGATATCGTGCATGTTGCAGAAGGTTAGTACGGTTTGATAAGCCTAGATAGATAAGCCTAGGTTAGATACGGTTTGATATCGTGCATGTTGCAGAAGGTTAGCACGTGTTTGATAAGCCTAGATAGATAAGCCTAGGTTAGATACGGTTTGATATCGTGCATGTTGCAGAAGGTTAGTACGTTTGATAAGCCTAGATAGATAAGCCTAGGTTAGATACGGTTTGATATCGTGCATGTTGCAGAAGGTTAGTACGTTTGATAAGCCTAGATAGATAAGCCTAGGTTAGATACGTTTGATATC